TTCCCCGTCTCGAACCCAGAATTCAGCCCTGAGTGCGGTGCTTGCGCGTCTGGCAGAAACTGCAGCGCTGTAACCCTGCGTCTCTATCCCAGCGCGCCTTGCAGACTCCAGCCGCGGGGCGATTCGCTGAATAAGCAGTTTTACCCTCCGTGCGACAAACCTCTCGCGTTTGAGTCCCCGTAGCCGATCCTCATGCGATGGAAATCCTTCCTCCAGGTTCCGGCGCACCCCACTATTGCTGGAAATTCCCAACAAGATATCCTTCAGCCGTCCTGACTTGTCACACTCCCACACAGTGAAGCAGCACACGGGGGTAATGCACTCCCCTCGCCGCCATCTTCAAAACCCAAGAAAGTAAGTTTTAATACATTGATTTCTTATGTAGCTTTTCAAAAAGGGCAATGAAAAAAAACCCTAATAAATATTATTCTTCAAATCCCATTTGGCCATCATGGCCATTATTTTCTAAACTCTTTACATTAGAAGAAGATAAAAATAAAATGTTGACAAAAGTAGAATTTCTCAATTTAGGCTATGGAAATTTCTCTCAGAAATAGATATTGAAAAGTTCCCAAAATCTTAAAAATAGCTATCAAAACAGCAATCAGTGAAGCAAAACATATTCTTGTAACAATCAGTTCATGAACACCATCTGCTTTTTAATAGGATTCTGGCTTAAACTCTGAAACAAAAATATTTTAATAGAGTCTGCCTATTACTAAAAAAGCCCTCAAATTATTAAACAAGTCAAAAAGTAGAACAGAATAGTTCAACACTTCATGGCTTATGTACTTTTATGGTCATGTATTGGTAAAAAATATTTTAAGTGTAGCCTTTCAAAGTGAAAAAATTAGCATGTGTTATCATTGATAAAGCATGAACTATTCTGAAAACTATCTTTTTAATAGCAATCTCATTAAAAATTCTTATGGTTTAAGAGAGATAAATCTTGGAATGAATTAGGTCCCTTGTACCTCCAAGTAAAAATTTTTAAATTTACCTTGCTATTTCTCCCAATGGTTGACATCACTTTCTTCTCTGACTTAGAAAAGAACATGATTAATTAACCCACTTTCTTGAAGTTACTGATTATCTGGAGTACTGATACAAATCTCTCATTGTATAGAAGAAAGAGAGGGGGCATGAAGAACATATTTTTGTGCTGTGGTCTATGAAAATTTCATAGAAATGAAGCTATCGATAACCCACAAAACATACCAAAATACTGGATTAAAATAAATCCTGAGAAGATATAGTGTCATGCATTAAGGAAATGGAAGAACAATGAGGAGAAAGCAGAAAAAAATACTGTAACAGTGAATTATACAGAAAGTGCAGTAGGATAAATATGGTTTTGCTTTTGCTTTTGTCAATACCAATAGAGTACAGGTAGGAGTTGGGAATTTGTGAATCCTTCAAAATGAAAACCTTGATGGCTAAAGAGGTGAATTTACACATCAGATCAATCAAATAAATTATCAAGAGAACCTATTATCAGTGAACTTAACAGACAAAAATCCTCATCCATAAATAAGAACTTATATTCTGCTGGAGAAAAAGATGATGGTAGAATGTGATGGACATCATTATCCAAAGTACATGTATGTAGACACAAATTAGTGTTAATATACTTTGTATACAATCAGAGATATGAAAAATTTATGCTCTAATGTGTAATATGAATTGTAATGCATTTTGCTGTTGTATATAAATTAAAGAATTAATAAAAAAGAAAAAGATGATATTCAATGAAATACACAACATCTTTAAAAAGTGATCCATGCAAATTAGGAGCAGAAATAGAGACTTATGGTGATAGGTAGACATTTAACAGAATCAAATAAGGAGAGCATCTCTGTGGTGGTGAAATCTGAGCAGAAACCTGTACAGAGGAGTGAGACATGCAAAGATCTGGGAAGAGATCCAGATGTGAGCCCTGGATGGGGTGAGGTTGGTGCATCCAAGAACAGTTTGGCTGGAGCAGAGTGAGGAGCTGTGGGTGTCTGGAGAGTGGCTGAGGTGGTGAGACAGGCAGACATCATAACATATGGGGCCCTGTTAAGAAATTTATCATATATTCTGAAATTGATGTAACTCTACTGGTGAGTTTAAGCTGCACAGCCAGTGGAATAACCCAATGTACATTTTAGAAAATCACCCTCATTGCTTTTTAGAGACTTGACTCTAGGGAAGGCAAGAGGATAAAGGGGCCAGGTTATAGAGCACAGTGGAAATAAAAACTGTTTGGGTTCTGGACCAGGCTGCCAGGGTTAATGTATGTAAAACCCAAATTATATTCCTTGCTATCTGGCCCTCCCTCAACATTCCAGTTCCATTTACAGTACACTCTCTCCTCCTCTTTGCTGTGTATATATCCATCATTCTGGACCTCTGTACATTTTATTGCCTCTATTTAGAATGAATTCAATTTTTCTCATCATGGTAAAACAGACATGTACAACCTTCATGCCTAGAACTTCCTCTTGGAGCCTTTCCTGACATTTTGGGAAAAGGAGATGATAACATAGAATCTTGTATAGTATAACATATATCATCCACACTGTATTATGTTACTTGTTTTATCTTAATGCCCAATAAACTCTAATTCCCCCACCCCCCAATTTTATTGGTTTGTGAAAATTTACAATCTGTAAACTACTGAGCTCTAGATTTCTTAAATTTACATGACTTTGACTACCACTTAGGAAGATCTCAGTACAGTTAATATCTAGTAATCCATAGTTATAATTAAGAAATTTAATTTAAAATAGTTTCAAAGCATGTCTAGACATTTGTATAAAAATTTAAAATATCTAAAATGTTAAAAAAAGGTCTTTGATAGTTTACAAATTTGTCTACTTTGTGCACAATAAATCTGACTTTATATACAGTTGGTTCACATTAAATTATGCATTGATTTTGACCATTTGGAAGAATTTCTGAATTGTGTTCCAAAGCTCAATACACCTAAGATTTTTCACACTCAGTATTATTTTATAAGTTTACTCATTTTTTATGACTAAACCATTAATCAGTATTGTTTACACAATCGGTAGTGCAACCTTGTATCACCCTATAGTATATTGCCAAATCCAAAATGAATACTATCAGGAAAAATACTGGTAACTTGAATCTCTTTTTTAACTAAGTGCATTTGAATTAAGAATATATGGAGACGGACTAGGGTTGTGGTTTAGTGGTAGAGTGTTTGTCTAGCATGCGTGAGGGACTAGGTTTGATATTCAGCACCACATAAAGAAATGATTAAACAAAATAAAGGTATTGTGTCCATCTACAACTAAAAAAAGATTTTTTTTATAAAAAAAGAGTATATGGAGAGATATTAAGTACACCAAATATAAAAGCCTGTTTTTTTTTTCTTAATGACAAATTCCTGGAATAGGAATATTACTTTTAAATACTGTAAAAACATATTTTAAAATTTTCTACTTGACTCATTAAAAGAATGTATAGAATACAGTTATAAAAATAAATATCTACACATTGTAACTGAAATAAAAATCACTCCTCAAACTGGATAAAATCACAGTGCACCAATGGTTCTCTGACTAGATATGGTCTCTGAACCTCACTTGATGACATTTTTACTTTTTAGATATATTGATTAATAAATAAGAATATGATAGCAAAATTCCATTGTAAAATTAGAAAATTAAAAAAAATTAACTTAGTAATATGACTATCGATCTGTCTTTGTATCTACAAAGAGACTCACAGTGATATATAGTAATGTATTTTTTTTAACCCACAGCCAGTGTTTAACACAAATGGACCAGTGAAAATATGGCATTATCACAGAAACACCTATTTAGAAGTGTTAGTATTTAAAGACCTAGAGTTCAGAAACTAGTGCACTAGGCAGAGCTCTTAATTTGAATAGAAGACTTGTTTTAAGTTGAACTATTGTACTTATTAAGCACCTCCTGAAATAGCTACATATTAGATTTTCTTAATTACAATATGCCTGCTTTCCTAACTGATTATTATTAATAATTCTCATTCTTATAGAGATTTTCACAAATATGTCTAAAACATCTGTATGTTTTCCCTCAAAGCATATGTACACATTTTTAAATAATCTCTACTATTCAAACAAACATAAAAATTCCTTTTGCTTCTACAAGTACTAGGACCAAGTGTCACTTGAGCTTAGGCTAACAAAGTTTCCAGATATAAAATAAGCATGGATGAAGTATGATAATTATATTACTCTTTCAATCTGCCAGTCCTAGAAATTCTCTTTTTTGAATAGTAACATCCTAAGATTTTTAACGTAAACATTCTAGCTGAAAGAAGAGAAGATGGACCAGATTATGTCTACAAACCTTCCTATTAATGAATTCCAGTACTTAGAATCTAAACTTATGAACATTCTTTGTCAAATCTGTTTATAGTCAATGTTTATTCCATCATGTTTAGAAATGAATACCCACTGAAATCAATTTACAATTGATATTTGGGATATTTTGATATTAAAACAAAATATTCAATCTCAATAAATCATAAAATAATAACCTTCTTTCTGGGCAAAATAACACAGCTTGGGAGGCTGAGGCAGGAGGATCTCAAGTTCAAAGCCAGCTTCAGCAACTTAGTGAGGCCCTAAGCAACTCATACAGACCCTGTATCTTAAGTAAAATATTAAAAAGGGCTAGGGATGTGGATCAGTGGTTAAGTGTCCCTGGTTCAATCCTTGGTACCAAAAAAGAAACAACCCGTCCCCCTTCCCCCACACACACATCATTCCAAACAAAAACAAAAAAACATTCTCATTTTGCCTCACAGAATGTTTTGTTCCCTTGGTTTTTAAACATATGCTTTTCTGTTTTTTCCTCAAATTTCCAATGTAATAGTCTTCCCTGACATTTAGTATTATATTTCTAGATTACCACAAGCTTTTATTTACCTTCTAAGGTCTGCAAACACATGATTAATAGCAACTCATCCATTGTCTTCTAACTGAAAAGAATCACGCTTACCGTGAAGCCCTCGGTATACTGAAAAGGAGCCCTGGAACTTTCGTCTGCTGTTGGACTCAGAGGCTTGGGGTCAGACATAGAACGCTGCATCATCTTGGCTGTCTTAGGACTTGCTGGGGGAACTTTAGCCATATCTGGATGCAGTACTTTCTGTGGACTTATATCATCAGGGAGGGGTTTTTCATAAGGTACAAAGGCTGATTCTAAGGCTTTGCCTGATGAAAGTGGTGAGATGGGTGAATAAAGGACTTTTGGAGATTTGGGAGGGGAAGGAGCCAGCTGGAGTGTGGAATCTGCCCGAAGGTGAGTTGAATAACCAATCTCTAAAGGTGTTGGGCGTTTCTTGTCTTTGGGTGGAGATGTGGCACTCAGATATTGAGGACTTTGTGTGTCTGAATCTGCTTCTGTTTGACATCCTAAACTGCCCCCTTTGTAAGTCTTTTCAGGTGCTGAAATGTGTTTAATTATTTCTACCTTAGCGTCCACTCGAGCTCGTACGGAAGGTGTTCTTATGGTTCCAACTGGTTCAGTTTGCACAGATATCTCTGCTACTGTCTGGACCGCTATGCTGGAGACTTTAGAAGGGGGTTTGGTCTTGTCAGCCTCTGCTGTGCTGTCACCATATTTCCCCGCCCGAGCCTTTCTCCTTGATCGAGCGGGCATGTCCCACTCGTCCTGATCTTCATCATCAGTTTGGACACTGGTATCAACGCTTTTTCTAGTTCTCCTTCTCCTGCTTGCACAGCTCCGATCAGCAGCATCTTCATCGTCTGTTTGTACACCACTGTCCACTATTTTTTTAAAACTTCGGGGATCGTCTGCCACACTTTCCCCCATCTCATCATACTGTCCCCGGACTTTCCCTCCAGAACTTCTCTTTTTGGGTGGTTTTTCCTCTTTTACAACAACATCTGTTAGTGGTATTTCTGAGACAGTACTCAGGATGCCAGGTGGGGCAATGTACTGTGTGACACCATCAGACTGGACCGTGTACCATCCTTGACTCTGTGGTATCTCAATGGCCACTACAGCGGAAGCTGTGGTCGTTGCATCTTCAGTTGCCCAAAACTGACCACCTTCTGGGGCAGCATACTGACCTTCCAAAATTGCCTGCTCTGTAGTAGTTTGTGGGGAAGCATTTCCAGAAGGGTCATAATTATACTGGTAGATCTGGCGAATCTTCTGCTCCTCTAGCTGCTGGTGAAGCTGTTGTTGCAGCTGCTGGATCTGCTCGAGCTGTAATTGCTGCTGGGCTAGTGTCTCCTGCCTCATCATGAACTGGGCCTGCCGCTCTTCTTCTTGCTGATAGAGAAGGTGCTGCTTCATAGACTGCAGCTCCTCCAGCTTTTTTTGAACCATGATCTTTTCTTGTTCTCGGAACCTTTGAATTTCCTGTCGCTCCCACTCTAGTTCCTCAGCAAAGCGCTGTTGCTTAATTTTCTCCAGTTCTAGGAGCTCACGCTCTAAGTCAAGTTGCTGCTGCTGTTTGTCTTCTCCAGGGACAATTAAAAGAGTGCTTTCATCTCCCACCATTTCAGAAAATATTTCAGATGCTGTGGTTAAAGTGGGAACAGAGTCTATTGTCTCAGCAGTGAGGGTTTCCATAGTAATAGTTTGCAAGCTGGCATTGATATCAATACCAGTCACTGCAATGTCTGTTTCGGATGCACCTGTTGTTATGAAATATGATCTAGCCATAGGCTGGCTCTGGTGCAGGGCAGATAATGAAGTCACTGAATCAGTTGTATGAATACCAGACAAATCCCTCACAGTGGTGCTGAAAATAGAGCCAGGTTGTGTGGTAATGGCAAATGTGGAGGGGATCGGAGTTGCTACTGAAGAATAGACAACACCATTAGATGACCTCAAAACACTGCCCACACCATACTGGGGTGCTGGAGGTGGAGTCATTCTTGCTGTGGAATACTGTGGAGTACTAATTCCAACTCCTGAAATGACTTGTCTTGTTTCTGGATATGGACCTGTAGTCTTGCTTGAATAATCCATTACCTCACCTGAAATACAGGGTAGAGTTATAGTCCAGTTCTCAGAACGAATGATGCTTTTTGGGTATCTCATCTTGATGAATATAATGAATGGGACCACATGCAAATCCATAGGTTAACCTAATTATGTGCGGAATAAAAGCAATGTTGAACATGCAGGCACATGCAGGCAACTCTGGGAAGAACAAATTAAAAACTGAAGAAACAAAAGCGCACATGTACTCAAAAAATATGTTGCCAAAACATCCAAAGAAAGAGAAAAAGTAACAAAATTGGAATGGGGACCGCATTTTCATCCTGAAATGAGATGAGGGACACCATAATGATATTTCAAGGAAAGGTCTGTTGCCATATCATACTGACCTGTAGTAATTCTCCCTGAAGTTAGATCTACTGCTGCATCAGTTCCTCCAGAATAATCAAAAGCATTCTTACTTTTATAGAAGAAATGTCCAGCATCTGCTAAGTTAGTGTCAGACATAGAAGGTTTCATTCCACCAATCCCTTTGTAACCATATGGCCCTGAACGGTCATATTGATAGTGGTCATCTCTATAACCAAAGCGATCCTCAGGCAGAGTAGTTGCAGGCTGCTGTGCTGTACAGCTCCTTCCAAAAGGTAACTTATAAACCATGTCACAGCACACTGCTCTTCTTCCTGCAGTCAAATCCACAGGTTTTTCATCATCTTCTATTATTTTGGTTACTACACTTGAAGTAGATTCGTCCATTGTTACAACAGTTCTATGAGACTTTGTTGTACTGAGATCCACCACTTCCCCATCAGTGATCCCCTGAGATGTAATACTATCAGTCCATCCATTTGTGACACCAATAGGAGGCACAGTGACAGGTTTTGTAATGGCCGATGTTACTGCATGTGCTGAAGTACTTAGAGATAAGTTGATTGGAGCTTCCTCTCTAACTGCAGCAAAGGCCTGGCTAATTGGCATCCTGTATGGGGACTCAGCATGCTTTGTTTTAGTAAGCTGGAGTGGTGCTGTCATTGTATGTTCTATACTCATTAGGCTTTCTGTGACTGTAGTATAACTTGTAGTAGCTGTGCATGCAGCAATAGTCACTGTCTCAGTGTCCAGGGATACTGGTGTCACAACTGATGAAGTTGCACTGAGGTTTATAATGGAAGGTTGAACAGCACTAATTTGTCTACCATAAACTTCATTTGCTGTGGTCTGTCTCCTCACATCCATTGCAGAAGCAGAAAGATCCATACATTTTTCAGTTGCTTTAACTTCTACTTTTGGTACTGTACGCAAATCAATGACATCACCAACAAGTTGCAACTTTCCGTTTTCCTTGTACTGATGCTTCTCTGAATGTAGGCTATCTAGAGCAAGAGGCTCTGGAGGAATTGATATAGAGACACTGCTGGGACCAACACTAGGGGCTATACTTCTAGCAACTGAAACCTCAGCCTTGGAGACCTCAGTTGTGTGAAACTGTGTAACTGAAGTTGGAGCTGCTTGAAATGAAGATGGTGTTACAACAGGGGCAGCAGAGAATGTCTCCAAAGCTCCTGAAATGTATAGCATTTCCTGAGAACTTGGAATTTCTGTAGATGTTATAGGAGGAACTACAGAAAACACTGGTTCAATGGAAACCAGATCTTTTGGGGGTGATCCCAGGGGCCAACTGGTAATTGCTTGACTAGCTGAAGAATCTGTTGGAGTTCCAGGTTCAGATGGCAGTGTAATAACCACATAGGTTTCCATGAGGGATTTGGAATATCTTGGTGAAGATTTGTTAGAGTGTGGGGAAAGTGGGGAGGTAGGGGAAGGCAATTTATAATCTGTTGAGGTCACTAAATTTAAGGTCATACTTGAAGTTAAAGATAGACCTGTTGGTTTGGGATATGTATCTGTTGGTTTTTGTGCAGTTACTGGTTGCTGAGGAACTGCTGGTTTGGGGGCAATTGGAGGTTTGCTTGGCTCAGGCCTATGTGTAAATACAAGTCCAGATGGAATTGAAGAAGGCTTAGGAGGGACAGGAGGAGGGGCAGTGGTACATATTTTTGTTACTGGTAACTCATCACCCCTCTGAACAATTGGTGCCCCTATAGTAGTAATAGCATCAGCCAGAGGTGTAGCAGGAGTAACTGGAGTCACTGGAGCTGCAACTGTGAGCTTTTTTTTAGGATGAATAGTTGGTTTAGGTGAGGTTGGTGGGGGGAGAGGTGGGGGAGGAGGGGGAGGGGGAGGGGGCGGGGGAGGAGGAGGTGGAGGTGGAGGAGGGGGAGGAGGTTGTGCTGATATGTCCAAAGAAGAACTTCGGAGGAATGGACGAGATTTAGTTGGAAGAGAAGGAGCAGAAGGACTGCCAGATGGTAACTGTGATGGAGGTTTTTCCTGGCCAAAGACATCTCTGGGTAAAAAGTAGGTAGACGAAAGCTGCTCCTTCATTGGAAAGGCTGTTGTAGAGGAAGGTAGTTGGTCAAACATAGGTTCAGATAAGCTAATTTTTGTTAGTTCAGCCTCAGACTCTTTTGTTTTATCTTCATAAGCTTCCAAAACTTCCAGAATCATTCCATTCTCAGTTTCCTTCTTGCCTTTTTTCACTGGCTCTTTTTCAGATATAGATAAGTCAGTGGAAATAGTGTCAGCAGTTGGCTCCTCAGGTTTAGTTCCTACAGATTCTGTGATAGAAGGTACTTCATCAGATAAGGGAATAACAACGTGATCAGCACTAGCTCTACCTCCTGGTGTGGTGGTTCTATCTAAAGATACACTTATTTCTTCTGGATAGTCTATAATGCTGCCTGGAAAATAGGTCGATGAAGAAATTTCCTCAGAATCCTCAAATTTAGTTATGATGTCCACTGGCTCTGCATAAACTGTGGTTATACTGTCCAAGGTAGCAATAGGTGAGGAGCTATCTGTGGTACAAACTGAAGAAACAGATGATGTGAGAGAAGGTGTATCAGAAGGTGGGACAGATGTTGCACTTTCTGAAGGCTCAGAGTAAGTCAAAATCAGTGATTCATGGGCAATTATTTCTTGAATTTCTCTTGTATAATCAGTTACATATTCATCCTCAATTTCATCTGTTGAAAAGTGTTGGGTTATTTTAACATCTGGAATAGAGAGTGTTGCACTGCTGGTTGAATCTGTAAGTGATGCTCCTGAGAGAACACTTGATGTCAAAGATGCATCTGGCACCCTGTCAAAGTCCATGGTGGACTCTGTCATGTCATCCCCTAGTGGGGGCTGGGTGGGGCTGGATCCAGGTGTTAACTGCATCTGTTGCCGCTTCATGAGTTCTTCATAGGCAGCATCAGCATCTAATAATTTTTTTTCTTCACTGGTAGAAGTGACCATAGCACCCAGATCCACTATCTCATGGCTTTCTGGAATGATGTAAGAGCTTGAAACAATGTCTTCTTGAGGCACAAGAGAATGCAAACTTTCCAGTTCATAAAACTCTTTCTGGAGATCTGTAATTTTCTGCATGGGATCTTCATAAATCTGTTCTGAGAGTCTAATTTTTTGCTCTCTTCCTCTCTGCTGCATGAATCCATTTTCTTCTTCTGGCCTTGTTAGCAGACTGCCATCTACTGACCCATTGTATGTGTCCTCTACTAAAGATTCATAAATGTAATCCTCTATTAGCATCCCACCATACAAAGGCTCTTTTTCAAACACCTCATCTCGTTCATTTGCAGTTGGAAAAGCTTTATATTTGTGGGTTTTATGCATCATTTCTTCATACATCTCCTCAGCACTTTTTAATGCCTTTTGACCACCTTCTTTCTGCATAATAGATTGCTCATCTGTTGGAGAGTATAAAGACACAGCTGTGGGCAATTTATAAACTTTCTGTACTTCTATTATTTTTTCTGGGCTGATTTCAAAACCTTCTGGGTCTGATTCTATGCTAGGTGAGTATTCAGAACATGAAGACCTATGGAGCTCCTCCATTTCTGCTGCTTGGCGTAATTCTTCGGTTGGAGATGCATCTTCTATGGGAGAGAGATTACTGGGTGGCGTCTTTGGTCTTTCCCTCCTCCTCTGAGCTCGAAGTTCATCTTTGTCTTTCTTTGATTTCTTACTAGAACTCTTTCTTTGTTGCTGTTCTAATTCCCGCTGTTTTTCTTGCTCTTTTAATAATTCTTCTTCCTCTCTCAATTCTTCTTCTTCTGAAGAATCTTCAATGGTAGGTAACAGAGGGCCATGTGATCTGTGCCGGGCTTTGCGTTGCTGTTTGCTTTCTCCTTTTTTGTGACTTGGGCTACTGTCACTGTCCTCATCAAGTGAGGACACAGATGTAGGAGATGTACCAGGAGTGAAGCTGGAAGCATGAAGACTAGAAGACCCTTCTCCCCTGGACCTGTCTTCTGGTGAATCTGTCAAGCTTTCCATTTCCAATTCTGGCTCTTCGTCAAAATACAAAGTTGCTTTCTTCTGCGATGGCTCTGCCGAATATTTATCTGCTATGGTGCTGTTCAGTTCAATTGTTTTAAATCGACGGAGCCCGCCTCCTCCAGCAACTACAAGTTCTTCGCTTTCCTGACTTTTAGTTTCTCTGTATTTCAGCTCTGGACTTTCGTCAAATGTCTCATCATCCTCATCGTGCCACGAATGACGCCTCCCTGCATCATCATCGAAGCTTGCACTACTTTTTCGAGTCAGTCGTCTGTGTTTCCCTGCGGTAGCTTTCCCTTTCCCCTTCATTTCCTCCTTCTTGTGGCTCTCGGTGATACTGCTCAGCTCTTTGAGCTGGTGCCGGATGAACTCGTCATCTTCTGAAGCAGAAGCATCTTCATCAGCGCTCATTTCTATGATTTGCTTTCGAATGAAGTCCTCGTCTTCCCCGGACCCTTGACTGTCTTCCTGTTTGTACTCTTCACTGCTCGATGAGCCAACACTAGTTCTCCGTTTTCTTTGTGGGACAGGTGAGTTTTCACTTTCACTACTGTCATCAACTGAATCATAGGGCTGTCTTCTCGTAGGTACATCATCGAAAAACTCAGACTTTTCTTTAGGGTCCTTACTAGAAGGAATGGCTTGTTGGCCATCCTTTTTGGAAGTCTCCTTCTTTTCTTCTTGAGTCTCCTTGAGCTCCTCTTCTGGAAGAGTAACTTCCAGTGTTTCTGAAGAAATCTGCATTTTCAGCTGGTCCGCAGGCTGCTCAGGAGAAACCTCCAGGGGTTGTGCTTTCTTTTCTGACTTTTCATCAAGTGCACTTGCCTGAGCTTCCAGAATAGACAGGACTGTACTTTCTAACTTAGCTAAGTCTGAGGGGCTGGAAGGACTGCTTTCTTGTGAAAAAGAGTCCTTTTTGAGTCCCTTAAGCAAATCCTTTTCATCACTTGGAATAAGACTTGGAATTTCACCAAGTGAACCTGATATTCCATCAGAAGAATATCCCGTGTCACTCAGGCCTTGTGGGCTTTTAGGCTGCTGAGAACTTGAGGTGTCTGATTTGTCCTCTTCCTTTTCCTAACAGAAAGGAAAAGATACAGGAAAACTTAACATGGTTAAATTTAACACATGGCCTCTCCATCACTCCCAAATAGCAATTAAAAACTGAGAAATAGTTGTGGAAATTTTTTTCAGCTACCTAACTGCAAGCCACTATTAAAAAAAAGAAGTTAAAATGAGAATAAAAAATGAAAATAGTTGATACATATTGATCAAGGTTTAGTTTTATTTTTACTAAGTTTAATTTATATGCCAATTCATAATTATCTTTTATTCTTTCATTAATACTCTACCCTTTTACATTTCAGGTTCACTTTCCTTCAAATTTACTTTCAGTATATTTACTTTGTGATATAATTCAAATTGTGGAGAAAAATTTTAATGATTACTTTGCTACTGACATAATTAAACTTTGGATTATGAGGTCCAGAAAAGGAGAACAAAGAATAAACTTGAATGCAAGTTATACTTGTGATAAAAAATTTACTTAACAAAATAAGCAAATCACATGATAATACTACATGTGTCTCCTACTACAAAGGAAAGCTATAAAAAATTATATATACTTGGTATTGCTAATATTATTACTCTATATCATTTGTAATGAATGTTTAGAAATTGTAAACTTTAAAAAATCATGCAATACTTATTGTACTCATCAGTTCAGCTAAAGAGAAATATTTAATTTGTTATGTTATCTCCAGCATCCCCCTTCAATGTTCAGATACTGCTTATGTCACTGATTTTGAAATTACTTGGTGTTTTATCCTGAAGAAAGATACCTTCAACCAGTACAATAATTTTTGAGTGGAAATATGGGTTTTCCAGGGACCCAGAACACAGTATAAGCTAAGTATACAACTTAGCCTGGACCTGGATGCTTTCCTGTGCTGTGATGATGCCACACCAACAGCCTTAGTTCAAGAAAATGTTAATAAAATAAATGAAAATGTTAAGCATGCAGACATTTTGCATAAAGTTTTTGCTAATTAAAAATATTCATGAACTGAGCTAGATAGTTCCCATGTTTAGAGGGTGTCACAATAGAGGAAGAGCTGCATGAGAACACACTGCATCTCATGCTGGCATAGGAGGCATCTCCATTTTACTATGTCTGCATTGTGAACTATCCAGACACTCATAGTAGGTTTGTGGGTGTAGGCTCTTCTTATCTGTCCATAGCTCAAAAGAACACACATCAGGATGTACTAACAGACATATGAAACACCTTTTCTTTCTCTCCCACCTGCCTCCCTCTTCCACCTCCCTCTATTTCCTTCTCCTTTACCGTCTAGCTATAGAGTTATCAAATATAAATACTGCTGGCTTAATACTGTTTTACATTCAGTTTCATCAATATATACCTTTATTGTATATGGTTAACAACATATCCTGAGCAAATTATAGGGTAAAAGGTTTTGCAGAATTTATAAAATGATTCAATTCATAAATACAGTCTAACATATTCTTAATAACATTAGTGCAGAAAGCAATTTTAACTCTTCCTGGATCATTTCCAATGTCTTTCTAAGCATAAAATGCTTATCTGGAGCAGTGAGACTATTAAAGCAGTGCTATTGAGCACCCAACTCACTTTAATTCCTTTATTTTAGGAGCCACACATTGAAGAATCAAGCAAAGGTGAAGCAACCTTCTAACAAAAGGTTTCTATATGGTCATAGTTCAGGGACATTCCTATCTCATCACATTTCACAAAATGTCATAGCACAATTTTTTTTTTACTCCAGATTGCTTTAGTTAGTGTCATTGATTCTTCACTGATTCAGTAAATAACATTACTCTGGAAGTAGGGTACCTAAGCTCTTGGAGGAAAACATGACAAGAATACGATCTTCCATAATCAAATTTTGATGGTTCATTTATAATCTTTATTTTATATCTACATATATTGCAAAATATAACAAGTCAATAAAAGTACCTATATACACATTGTGATGAATGAAAGGAACTATTATTTATGATACTTAATTCAGAATAATAGAAGAGAAATTATAGTTTATCCCACAGGTTCTGAGACTCTACTGTTATGGTTTGAATGTGATATGTCCCCTAAAAGTTCATGTGTGAGACAATGCAGAAGGTTTTGAGGAGAAATGATGGGGTTTTGAGAGCCTTAACCCTATCCTGAATTAATCATTAATCCCCTTATGGGATTAACTGAGTGGTAACTAAAGGTAAGTAGAGTGTGGCTGGAGGAGGTAGGTAACTGGGTGTGCCTTTGAGGTATATATTTTGTATCTGACAAGTGGAGTCTCTCTGCCTCCTGATCATCATATGAGCTGATTTCCTCCACCACACTCTGCCTTGGTATTGTTCTGCCTCACCTTAAGCCCCAGTGGAGTCAGCTGTCTATGGACTGAGACCTCTGAAACTGTGAGCTCCTAATAAACTTCTCTCCTCTAAAATTGTTTTTGTCAGGTCTTTTAATCACACCAATGAAAAAGCTGACTAAAACATCCATGAACATTTAACAAAAATAAGATTTGGACCAGACATACATAGGTAACAAAGGAAATCACAGATATTAGATAAAACTGACATGAATTTCAAAATACCCACTCTACCAGCCCCTTAGGTCACTTTTTACTATATGTCCATTCTTTCCTTCTTTCTCAGTACTATGTTCTATCCATTTATCCTCCTGGTCCTGGTCTCTTTCCTCTATATACTCTTCATAAGATCAAATTCATATTTGCCTGAGGTGGTAATGCTATGATGATTTTTTCCTTTACTTAATAATATTTTCCTATTTCACATTATAAGGTGACAAGTCTGTAAAATGTTTGCTCTACAGGCTTCTGGGTCTAAGACAAAATGTTGGAAGTGGTTAATAAGGAAGTCAAGTTAGTTGACCAAAAGGTGATAGGCTGAAATATTCAGAATGAAAATAGGTCATTTACTTTTTATACCAGAACATGTCAAAAAAATTAATAGTGTCAATTTTCTTCACACTAACTAGCTTTAGGTATGAAATCCCCTAATACAGTGTCCTTCTACTTCATTAAACTGTTAGCTTATGAGTCATCAGCAGACACTAGCCAGGTCTGTTGCCTCTTGGATTTAAGGCACCAATCATTTTTAAAAAGTTGTTTATACACAGAGATTGGCATACTAAAGCAATTATCCACTATCCATCCATTTTGTTCTTCCAGTACTACTTACTTGGTTTTGTGAGAGTTCTAGGTTAGAACAAGAGTGCAATTTGCACCCATTCAGTCTATATTGCTTTTAACTTGTCTATATTGCTTAACACTACTTCATTAATAACATCGTCTAATGGGGGAAATTAGATCCAATGCAAAATAGTAGATGAAACAGAGAAGAATGCAAAACATGATGTGTAAGATGGAGCTGTTTTCTCTAATTACCCACCTTCAAACAAGTGTCTGAAGTTCTATAAACTAGAAGAATATGATCAAAGGATTTGAAGGTGGCATAATTCAGCTCATTTTCTCCTAAACTCCACAGGACTAAAAGATTGGGAATTTTTTTCTCAGTTGCTTCAAAGGTGTGTGAGGGTGTACTTATTTTAAAGAATATGAAGTTATTTAGTAACATAATATTTAATGACAGGAATTTATTTGAATTGTTTTTGATAAATTATACATTTAAATATGCAATACATTTATATATATATACACACACACACACACACATATACATGTGTGTGTGAATATCACTGATTTAAAACAAATATCCATTTTTCTCATTTTAATATTCAGGAAATTGGCATTTTTATTAAGTGTTTCACATTTTACATGTAATACAATTTAGAATAATCTGTGCTATGTAAATTCATATAATTCATATGTTCCTTTTGCATAAAATTTTTCTTTGTCATCTTTGATGTAGGCAGTGAGAATAGGTATAATTTAAACATACTTTTAAAAATAGCAACATCATTTTTCATTTCCCCTGAGAAAAACATTTTCTATGTATTTTTTAAACATTTAGCATTAGATTGTATTACAATCACTTTTATTTTTACTATACGTTGCATTTTCCCATATACAGAATTATGACTACTTAAGTCTTTCTATTCTGTGAATATAAAAAAAAACAATTACTTGAAAATTCTAAAGTCTAGGGTTCTTTTTTTTTAAGTTTAATAGCTAAAAGCAGAAAGTAAAGATTTTCCTTCCAACATGCCACCACCATTTACTGAATGACAGACCACTGAGAGGAAAGTACTGATAAATTAAGCCTCATTTGAAACTCTTCTGATAGTAGCATATCTTCAAGCATTTACTAGTACTGAAGAATGTGCCAAAACACATTCAGTATCAAATCTGGCTGTGCCCTGTCCACAACTGTTGAAGCTTTTAGCTTTCCCCATTGAAGGCATATAGAATATTGCTGGGAATAGGAACTGAATTCTAGGTTATTTACAAATGTATGCAAAGAAAAGGCCACAATAAGTGTTTGGTTAATTTTCCCAAAGTCATTTAGTTTTAATGGGCTAAAATTAAGCAACAAATGATCTTTAATTATTATACAAAGTTTATGTAAACATGTATTCCTGATCTGAGTGTTTGAAGCACTCCAAACTATATTATATCTAGAAAACTTACAGGGCCTGAGCAAAGGATGGAATAATTCCACTTAAGCACTGTGATATAGGAGTTTTTGTCACTACAGAAAATGTGATTAATTTTCACCCTCATAAAATATGACTACACAATAGCTGTATGTAACTTGAATACTAACCTTCAGTTATTTTAAACAGAAAGTACATGCTAAAGCCTGTTCACAGTTCACTTTTGATCAAGAAGGCTATCCTATTCCAGTATAACATATCAAATATAGACTTCAATAGTATTCTGTTTAAGTATATAGGTCAAAAGACAGATTTTTTTTGTAGCAACATTACTTTTTTAAAAAGTTAAAAGGTATACTTTTCAAATTCATTATTATATTTCAGGGTTAATTTTTATTTTACCTGACAAACACATTTTAAAAGCTTGAATGAAGAAACAAAATGATGTAACAACACAGAA